GTATGTATGATGATGCATATAAATGTACATTATGTTAACATTTCTTAGTGCTTGCTGACAGAAAATTGATGATAGAGAGTTGAGATTTCAAACGTGTACGGGTACGTCTAGTAGGGAAATCACCTAAATTCCTTATGTATTAGATCATCAATTTTAGTGAAGTCAAGATTGCTACACGTTCTTAGAACTTGTAGAATGACATCTACACGTAATTGAAAACTTGTAGTTTTAATAATGAAAATGAGTCAATTTATGTGTGAAATTGTAGTTGTTAACTATTATTTAGGATGTTTAGTTTCACAAGCACTTATTTTCATCATGATTTGCTTACTAACTCAAATCAAACTGACGACACAAAACTTTAAAATACTGTAGAAGTACTTTTTCCGCGTGGTATGAATTTACACTATGTACGCGGTCACAAATTTTCTGCAGAAATTTGCCCAAGTGTACTTAATATAAATGTAAGGCATGTAGTGACAATTTCAACTAGATGCTGTCAGGAGACAGTAATACCCGCACTATGGTGTTTGCCTCTAAATATACACTCATTCATATTGGACTTTCCAAGGAAGAAGTCAAAATAATTCTATAATTATCACCGTACATGTATTCGTCAAATTGAACATAAAATTTTCAGATGACCATATCAACTCTGAGCCTCACATATGTATTTTAAAATACTTAATTCATAACAAGTCTGAAATAACAGAATTTAATTAATGATTGAAGTAAATTACTTATTCAAATAAATAATTTTCCCATTATTTGGAACTTTTTAAATTTACTTTCTCAACGACATAAAATATTATTTTAGTACAAAGCGTTTTTGATGAATTTATCAAAATGTGCAAACTGATTTTAGTATTTGGTCGGGAAAAAAACCCATTGAAAATACAACCCGATTAATTTGTCAATGCCTATCCCCCCCCACACACACACTCTCTCTCTCACTCTCACATTTTTTTTAAAAACATAGTTTAGTTAATTATGATAGTTTGAAATTTGTTCTTGTACTAAACAGTTTTATTTTCTACATTCACATTGGGTTTGCGTCACCCATTATCATATTTATAGATATCACCTCTCGGCACACCTCGGCCAAATTCATACTGGCAACGGAATCAGCAAAGGTTTGTCGAATGAGATTATTTAGCACATGTATGCTGACGATGCAGTGTGGTCAGTTAAAATCATTTGTGTTTTAATTGGATTATATGGATTGATTATATTTCATGAATTCGTTGTCACGACCTATGACATTCGGTAAGTACAAGATTTAGTATAGATTGCATAAAAATAAATAAATGCAAATGGTTAGGTTGAAGTTCAAAAAGGGTCAACATGGTCAAAGATCATCGCATGCCACAGTCGACAAATTTCACATTGTCAAGTTATCTCCCGTTGCGGACATTCAGTATATAACAGACGCAGATCCCGATTTTTTTTTCAGAAAGGGGGGGGGGGGGGGGGTGTCACACCTCAGTCAAAAAAATCAGCCCAAGATTTCCCGAGATGGAAATAAAAAATAATAAAAACAATGATGGTGGAGTCCCTGTTTTCTAAGGGGGAGGATGTCCAAAGTCATTTTTATTCTCTACAGTACATATATAGTCTTATTTAAATAACTGCTAATTCCAGGGGGGGGGGGGGTTCTGATCTCCCTAGCCACTGACTCCCTGTACCTGAAATGACAATTGATCTTATGACTCCATAATAGTAGAAAATTTTTTCATTTGACTATTTATACATATTTTGTTTCCTATGTTTATGTATTTTTGTCTGTCCACGGAAACTTTAACCTTGCCCATATTTTTTAAGTGGATTGAGCTATACACATGGCTTCAATTTTTCATAGGTAAATTTCTTTTGGCAAAACCTTTTAATGGGTACCACCAATTTTGACCTCTTGATCTCTTGACCTTGGAGTTTGACCCAATTTTACAAGAAAAATACCTTGAACTTGGCGTAAGTTTTGAACAGGTGGTGCTAGGACTTTCATGCTCTTACATGTGTAATCATTGTGAACTTTCAACAGGTATAATTATTTTTGACCTAGACCTTAGAGTTGAATCCAATTTAACTTTAACCTTGGCAATAACTTTTGAACAGGTGAGGAAGTTCTAGGGATTTCTCCCTTTTTTCACATGTGTATTCCTTGTGACAAGACTTTCCCTTTGATACCAACAATTTAGACCCTTTGACCTTGACCTTGGAGTTTGACTTACATTTGAGAAACTTCAACCTTTGCCAAAAGCTGCCATAACAGTTGCTGTCACAACAAACAAACAAATTACTAAAAAAAAACACAGAATACATGTACATATTTTATATTCAACAGATATACATCTGGTCATTTCTCTAGTTCTCCCTTGAATGAGACATGGTGATGTAAATTTTAAAAAATAATTATAAGAGTTGAAAAGGTTGTGCATATTGAAATATACTAAGCTCTGCGGATGAATTAGATATACCAGTTTAGCTTTATTTTGCTACCCAAAGCACCTTGATTAACTATTTATAAGCATACTGTTTTCTGAAATGTACTGATTTCTGTTGTCCATCTGTTTATCTGCAAACTTTTCACATTAACTTCTTAAGAACCACTGGGCTAATTTCAACCAATTTACATTTAAATATGCAGGGTACTTTTTAAGCGCCCGGATCGATAGATCCCGGGCGTATATTGTTTTTGTCCTGTCTGTTTGTCTGTTTGTCTGTTTATCTGTTTGTCTGTTTGTCAACTTTAACCTTGGCCATAACTTTTGAACAATAAGGGATAGAGACTTCATATTTGGTAAGCATACTCCACTAATAAAGTCCTTTCAAATGACTTCAAGGTCAATGACCTTGTGACCTTGACTAAGACTTATATGCTAAAAATAGCTTTTTCCACTGTTTGTCATAACTTTTAGACTTCATATTTGGTATGCCATAGGAGACATCAAGGTCAATGATCTTGTGACCTTGATATTTGCTTTTTCCACTGTTTGTCATAACTTTTGAACCATAGGAGATAGGGACTCCACTGATAAAGTCCTTTCAAACGACGGCAAGGTCAATGATCTTGTGACCTTGACTGTGACGGATATGCTAAAAATAGCTCTTTACACTTTTTGCCACAGTTTTTGAACCATAGGAGATAGGGACTTCATATTTAGTACGCATACTCCACTGATTAAGTTCTTTCGAATGACACCATGGTCAATGACTTTGTGACCTTGACTGTGACCCATATTCTAAAAATAGCTTTTTCCACTGTTTGTCATAACTTTTGAACCATAGGAGATAGGGACTTCATATTTGGTATGCATACTCCACCGATAAAGTCCTTTCAAACGATGGCAAGGTCAATGATCTTGTGACCTTGACTGTGACGGATATGCTAAAAATAGCTCTTTACAATTTTGCCACAGTTTTTGAACCATAGGAGATAGGGACTTCATATTTAGTACGCATACTCCACTGATTAAGTTCTTTCGAATGACACCATGGTCAATGACCTTGTGACCTTGACTGTGATCAATATGCTAAAAGAAGATTTTTTTAACTTTGTTGCCGCCGGGCGCGTAGTGTTTCACAAACACATCTTGTTCCAACATAAATCTTCTTCTCAAGAACAGCAAAGACATTTATTGTCCCCATTTTTGCTAAAGGTAGGGTACATTAAATCTCATTTCTTTGTCAATCTGCCCATCTGTCACAATAAATTTAACCTTGGTCATCATGGTCATATATTTTGAATGAGAAGAGATAGGACTATTATATTAAACATGTGTATTAGTATTAAATGGGACAATACCATTCTACATACACTATGATTTTCATTACCCATGATCTTGAAGTTTGACCTAATTTCCTTAAAAAAATTAATTGCTTTCAGGGAAGACTGGGCTTTTTGCATAAAAAACGTCATTTTTCAACCCCCATTTGATCCCCCAGGGCAAAATCAAAATTCCAAAACCTTACTGCACATCTACAAGACCCCACCAACCATCTCCCAAAAGCTGGTTAGGCTACTGAGTAAAATGTAGAAGGAGTTCAGGGAAGACGGGGCTTTTTGGACAAAAAACGTCATTTTTCGACCCCCATTTGACCCCCCGGGGCAAAATCGAAATTCCAAAACCTTACTGCACATCTACATGACCCCACCAACCATCTCCCAAAAGATGATTAGGCTACTGAGTAAAATGTAAAAGGAGTTCAGGGAAGACAGAGCTTTTTGCTTAAAAAACGTCATTTTTCGACCCCCATTTGACTCCCTGGGGCAAAATCAAAATTCTGAAAGCTTACTGCACATCTACATGACCCCACCAACCATCTCCCAACAGCTGGTTAGGCTACTGAGTAAAATGTAGAAGGAGTTCAGGGAAGACGGGGCTTTTTGGACAAAAAACGTCATTTTTCGACCCCCATTTGACCCCCCGGGGCAAAATCGAAATTCCAAAACCTTACTGCACATCTACATGACCCCACCAACCATCTCCCAAAAGCTGGTTAGGCTACTGAGTAAAATGTAAGAGGAGTTCAGGGAAGACGGAGCTTTTTGCTTAAAAAACGTCATTTTTCGACCCTCATTTGACCCCCGGGGGCAAAATCAAAATTCCAAAAGCTTACTGCACATCTACATGACCCCACCAACCATCTCCCAACAGCTGGTTAGGCTACTGAGTAAAATGTAGAAGGAGTTCAGGGAAGACGGGGCTTTTTGGACAAAAAACGTCATTTTTCGACCCCCATTTGCCCCCCGGGGCAAAATTGAAATTCCAAAACCTTACTGCACATCTACATGACCCCACCAACCATCTCCCAAAAGATGATTAGGCTACTGAGTAAAATGTAAGAGGAGTTCAGGGAAGACGGAGCTTTTTATACGCCCGTCTTAAGACGGGACGTATTATGTTATAGGCTTCGTGTCCGTCCGTTGACCCTGTCCTGTTAGCTTTTCGTTTCCGGCATAACTTTTATACTATTAGGCCTAGGATTATCAAACTTTGTCA